CATATCAAGTTTAAGTGATATGTATCATTGCAAGAGAATTTGTTTCAAGATTTTTTTTTATGTTCCAGAAGATGCCCAGTAGAGAACATTTGAGGGAAATGGGGAAACATACTTGTAATTTAGAGAACAAGAACAAAGCACGTATTAAATTTGTTTAAAAGCTTAATGGTTTTAGACATATGCTATAGGGACCTTTCATATCCAGGTTAACAAAGAACTGTGATATATAGAGTGTCTAATTACAAAATCACATAAAATTTATTTAATTCTCTTCTGTATTGTAACTTAGATAATTCCCAAGGATTCTAATAAAAAATCACTCCATTGTATTGGGAAGCAAAACCATCATTCATTAATTACTTATTTTCTTTCCATAGGTTTTAATATTTTGAGATTATCTTTTTTATTTCATTCACAAACTTTTGTATTTTTCATATTTCATTTGATTTGTAAATTTATGTATGTTAAAAATAAACCATTTATTTTCAGCTTCGAATTTTATTTTGTGCATGTGTTTCATGTCTTTATTTTCACATTTGGTCATAAATGAAAACAAAGAATTGATTATTGTGCTTATAAAGAAATGTAATAAGTTACATTAGTTAAGTTTCTGAGATAAATCTGAGAAAATTGGAAACTTCATGTCAAGAACATTTTCTTTACATGTAAGTAAAAGTTACTTCAGTAAAATGGATTGCTTTAGAATACTAGGACATATTTTATGGATGTATATGTGTTCATGTTTGTATGTATATATGTGTGTGTATGTATGTGCAGAGAGACAGAAAGACCATCAGAAAGATGGAGAGATAAAGAGAGACAGAGAAAAGGGAGAAAGAGATTATTTTAAAACAAAGAAAAACAAGCTTATTCCTTTACATTCAACTTGGAACTTAGGTAGCTTACAGGAATCTTTTACATCTAATAGGCTTTAATGCAACCCCACAGTAGTTGCTTTGGAAATAGATAAAATAAAAACAATGCCATGAGTTTCGTTAATTGATGATCATTTGAATCAAAGATGCATTTCTGTCACAACTTTTGAATAAATCAATGATGAATATTTGGAAACATATTTTGAGCTAATAATTCCATAGTGGCAGAGATGCCTTTTGCTTTAAAAAAATCCTATTTGTTCATTTGTTCAAAGAATATTTATTGAGACCTATAACATGCTCAGAATTGGTTAGCTTAGTAAAAGTTTTTCTACTGAAGAATTAATTTTCGTCTTGCAAACCAGTCCCAAAGGTATAGGCTTAGGATCAATGGATGGAAGTTACAAGGAAACAGATTTCTACTCAGTTACAAAATAGCTGTAAAGCAGAGTTCCACACAAATGGAATTCACTGTCTTTGGAAACTAGGTCTGCCATTACCAGAAGTATACAAGCAGTTATTTGATAGGTTTTCATTGAGATTTTGTATATGAGTTTTTTGCATTGGATAAATGGTTTTCAGTCTGAAGTTGTTTCCAACTCTGAGCATGTTAAGTGACCTAGAACACACTGGTGACTCTTTGGCAGATTCAGTTTCAGCATTTTGCACATTATCTACCCAGCTGTGATTAATCTTCCTAAAACTCTCAAGGTATTTTTTCCATCATATACTGATGTCAATAGCTCTTTAATGCAAGTAAATGCACAGTATTATATGAGAGACACATTTAGCAACTGGTCTATCTTATTTCTCTGTTTCTACCCAAAGAAGATAAAGTAACCTTAGCAATGGGTTAAGAGATTGAGTGTTTTAATAGTAATTTTAATCTACAGCTATTTAAAACTGAGTAGACAGAAATTTTACACCTTATTACTCTTATAAATCCACATATTAAGATGATATTTTAGTTAGCATTAATAATTAATACAGATTAAGCAAATATTACTCCATATATTACTTTACTATTGTGTTCACTAGGCATTGAGCAATAATAATTTAATCAAAGTGATTTATGGAAATGTCTACTGTATGTTAGAAATTTACATATGGGTATCTAATTTGTTTATCAGCCCTACAAGTTTGCTCTAATCATATGCATTTTATAGATGGATGAACTAAGACTCAAAATGTATTAAGATAAAAACAGAGATAAATGGAGAAAGCAATATGTGAAACCATATCCATCTTCCAGTTAAGTATTCCCTTTCTTCTATACTTCAAGTTTTAAGAGAGAAAATGAAAGAGACAGAGGTTTGCTTTTCTTTTATCTACTAATAACTCAGCCAGAGGAAAATAAAATTACAGTCCTAGTTTTCTTCTCAGTGAGCTCCATGGAAATTATGACTTTTACAGGCAAGAGTATTTTTCTGTATTGAAGAGTTCTCAATCATATAACTTAACTTCAAACCCAATTTAGTACCACACAAGAAAACTAATCTCATTATTATTTGGCCATACCTCATGTTTTTTAGCTAATCGGAATGAGTTAAATTACTACTTCTCCAAGTAAACCTTAGCGTTAAAAAATAATAACCCTTATCCTCAAATATGAAGTTTTAACAACATGGAAGATATGAAGAAGATGATGCCATAAAGCATGCAACTTCCTTTACAGTAGCAAGTGAAGATCCCTCCTTATAGCCCAAGACTTTTCTGAGAAGCATCTTCTACATTTGTTCCTCAATGTCTAAAATTCCACCACTCATATCTGCATTTAGCATTGTCCTCTTTCAAATCTAAACTTTCTTACTTTCTGGACAGAGTACCAATAGAAAAAATAAAAGAACAACAGACTCAAAAGACATTTTTTAAGATCTGGAACAGTGTTGTATTTTAAAAGATGATATTCCTATTGGCAAAAATATACATTTTCCAAAGGTGATTATTTTGAAGTGAAACATCACACACACACACAAACACACACACAGTTTGCATCAATTTTCTTTGTTGACAAGCTAGCCATGTTGCCTTAAGGTTTTTTCACATTTCTCATGAGCCGAAAGAAGCAGTAGACTTCCCACTTCCATATTCTCTGATTTGCGAGAGGCAGCCTCATAAGATTCTGAGTAGGACTGGAGGGAGCTGAGGAGTTACTGAAACACATGCACATGTGCACAGACTCATACACACACAAGGGTTTTAATAGTAAGTGAGAATTTAAATTTATCTCTTAAAAGTGAAAAAAAAGTCTCTCAAACCATTTTTGCATTCTTGGTTAAACCAATCAAAAGTTCTCAAAACTTGAGCACATGTCTCTCCAATTTCCCTTCAAATTCAATTGGTATTTCTTAAAACAGACACACACACACACACACACACACACACACACACACACACACACACAGTGGGCAATTAACTACCCTGAAAATATTAGCCACCCTCAAAAGCAAGTCATCTCAGCTCTGTTTACAAATTATTTCTCGTTTTGAAATCTTGTTAAGCCCACTGATTGCAAAAATAAAAATAAAAAACCACACAATAATCTGTAAGAATCACAGCTCCCTCATTCCCTGTCAAATTCACAATGACCAATGCAAACTTTCAGTCTGTCTCCACAGGCTGAAAAGTCTCTCCATTACTGTTTCATCCCTGGACCAAAAGCAGAGGTGTTCACCCCCTCACAGTGTGTCTCTGGCACATGTTTCAAAGTTATCAATGGCTATGATTTACAATTTTGAATTTTTTTCCTTCATAACATGGCATGTCCCAAGCTCCTGAATCTCACAGCGAGTTAAGCATCGTATTTATTTGAAGAACTTACCCTTGAGAATCTGTCCAAATCCACCTTGATAACATTAGAAGTGAATGGTTTGCCAGAAGTCTTCACTACTTGACTAATTCTTACCCATTGCCATTGTTTTTGTCCCTTTACTGCCAATTCTTCACACACACACACAGACACACACACACACACACACAGAGAGAGAGAGAGAGAATTTAATTGACAAGATAAATACTATGAACTACTATGAATGGTCTGATGTTGTGTCCAAAAATGTAAAGTGTTAAAGGATATAACTGAGCATCTTAGAAGGTGGCAATTCCTATGGTTCTTTGCTTATCAGACTATGTCAGCAGCATTATATTCACTCCTGTTCATAATGCTACTCTTGGGAGACACATCTATATACTGAACATTATCCAGAGAAAATTGGTAAAAGTGTGAAGGAGACATGAGACCATGTCAGTTATGGAATAAGAAAAATATTCTGAATGTATTTAATCTGGACATAAGAAGAAAATATAGTGACATAGGCCGGGCGTGGTGGCTCAAGCCTGTAATCCCAGCACTTTGGGAGGCCGAGGCGGGTGGATCACGAGGTCAAGAGATCGAGACCATCCTGGTCAACATGGTGAAACCCCGTCTCTACTAAAAATACAAAAAATCAGCTGGGCATGGTGGCGCATGCCTGTAATCCCAGCTACTCAGGAGGCTGAGGCAGGAGAATTGCCTGAACCCAGGAGGCGGAGGTTGCGGTGAGCCGAGATTGCGCCATTGCACTCCAGCCTGGGTAACAAGAGTGAAACTCCGTCTCAAAAAACAAACAAACAAACAAACAAACAAAAAAACAACAAAAAAACCCCAAAATAAAATATAGTGACATAAAAATAGTTGTCAAATATTTTGAATGTTTAAAGATGCAAGATCTGACCACCAGATAAAAGTTGCACAAGGAAGAAGAGTTCAAAACAAGAAATAATTTGTAAACAGAGCTGAGATGACTTGCTTTTGAGGGTGGCTAATATTTTCAGGGTAGTTAATTGCCCACTGTGTGTGTGTGTGTGTGTGTGTGTGTGGTGTGTGTGTGTGTGTGTGTGTGTTTTAAGAAAGACCTATTGAAGAAGGAGACTACTGCAATGTGAGCTCAACTAACATCCTTGAAGGTTGTAAATTCAACCATTGGTAAGACTGGTATAGATTTTTTGGCTGGGTAAATTATTCGGCACTGAGATCCTGTAATCTCAAGTGTTTGTTTATTGCCTGTCCTCTGGAGGATAGAAAATAATGAACTGGAATGTATATGTTTTCATTATACATTATCCTATCTTTCCATTTTCCTATAGATACAGTGGAAGCAGTTTTTGATTTCATTCAGAGAAGCAGAAGGATGATTGTTGTCCTGAGCCCTGACTATGTGACAGAAAAGAGCATCAGCATGCTGGAGTTTAAACTGGGTGTCATGTGCCAGAATTCCATTGCCACCAAGCTCATTGTGGTTGAGTACCGTCCCCTTGAGCATCCGCACCCAGGCATTCTTCAGCTTAAGGAATCTGTGTCTTTTGTGAGCTGGAAGGGAGAAAAGTCCAAACATTCTGGCTCTAAATTCTGGAAAGCTTTGCGGTTGGCTCTTCCCCTGAGAAGTCTGAGTGCCAGTTCTGGCTGGAATGAGAGCTGCTCTTCCCAGTCTGACATCAGTCTGGACCACGTTCAAAGGAGGAGAAGTCGTTTGAAAGAGCCCCCAGAACTTCAGAGCTCAGAAAGGGCTGCAGGTACCCCTCCAGCCCCAGGCACAATGTCCAAGGACCGAGGGAAGTCCTCTGCCACCTGCCGCTGTTGTGTCACCTACTGTGAAGGAGAGAATCACCTTAGGAACAAGAGCCGGGCAGAGATTCATAACCAGCCCCAGTGGGAGACACACCTCTGTAAGCCTGTTCCCCAAGAGTCAGAAACTCAGTGGATACAAAATGGCACCAGATTGGAACCCCCTGCTCCCCAGATCTCAGCCCTTGCTCTTCACCATTTCACGGACTTATCCAATAACAATGACTTTTACGTCCTGTAATTACTGTGTGTGGTGGGTGGTGGCTACTCTCTCTACCAACCCTCTGTATGTCATGAACCTGTGGGAAAACCTGACATTTTTATCATCTAATGGACTGTCAGATTTCTGTCCCCTTTATTGATTTTTAAAAACCGTTTATTTCTAGGACACAAAAGACCTGAAGGACCTGAATCCAGAATTATTGCCTCTAATGGCCTCAGAAGAGCACACTCTTCTTGGGCCCTAGAAGGTCAGTATGTGAAAGTTGCCTAAAGTCTGAACCTCTCTCTTGTTTCAATGTTTTAAAACTGAGCTAAGAATTTAAATGTGTTTCTTTTCAGTGTGTGGATCAACCTCATGTTATAAGTCAGTAAGGTGTACTTGGGTTATGATACATACAGGGTGTATGCGTTCCCAGGAAGCAGAATGGACAGGAGCTGGTTCTGGTGGAAGCTGTAGGACTGAGATCAACAGAAAACCTACAGCACATTTTTTTCTCAAGGAACCAAACATACCCACCCAGGGATCCATGGTGTTCTCTGTCTCACTGTAAACTAGTGTTCTCTAAACTGCCTAACATTGTTGGCATCAATAAAATTATATTTTTACGTCATTTTATTTGTACTAACAAATTTTTACATCTCTCTCACCTTTCTACTTTCTATGCTTGTTGTATTCTTATCTGGAGAGTATTGCATTTCAGGAAATTGAGATTTGGTTTAGGTACCAGAAAGACTAAGGTGACTTTGTTGTTTCTTTACAACATGTAATGGGAGAGATGTGGAAAATAACCCAAAGAGAGAGAGAACGTGATTTAAATAAAATAGAAGTTTATAAGAATCTCATATTTTTAGAACTGACAGATGAAAAATTCACTATTGTAAGGCATGTGGGGTGGAGATCGGTGCCTTCTTCACATTCAGGCATCTGAGAAGGGATAGTAAATTCAAGTGCCTACAAGGATCAGCAGGTAACAAAAAAGAAAATGTAGCCAGATATCAGCATATTATACAAGCTCTCCATCTAGAACTGATGTGAATAGGGACATAGACACAGATAGTTATTTCTTCTCTGTAAACATTTTCACCAACTCATAAAAGGCACCTGGCATTTGATTTTCAAGTCAGGTAGATCATTGGGCCTCTAAGTAACTGAAGAACACATACTTCTTAAAAAGGGGCAGCTTCAGGCCGGACATGGTGGCTCACGCCTGTAATTCCAGCACTTTGGGAAGTCAAGGTGGGCAGATAACCTGAGGTCAGGAATTCAAGAGCAGCCTGGCCAACATGACAAAACCCTGTGTCTTCAAAAATATAAAAATTAGCCAGGCATCACGGCAGGTTCCAGTAACCCAGCTACTCAGGAGGATGAGGCATGAGAACCCCTTGAACCTGGGAGGTGGAGGTTGCAGTGAGCCAAGATCATGCCAGTGCACTCCAGCCTGGGCATAAGAGCAAGACTCCATAAAAAAAAATGCAGCTTCTACTCAGTTCCATTTGATTGTTGCCACTAATTGAGCCCCAATATTGCCATATTGCCCATTTCTTTTATAGAGAATCTAAAAAATCCAGATTTTTATGTATAATGTCAAGTATGGGATGGTATAAACTTAAGAAGGAAGAAACAAAGAGCCAAACAAAATACATATGTGGCTCATAGTCAGCCAGAGGGCAACTAGTTTTGTAATTTCATAACTCAAGTATATAAGCAAAGAACATATATCCAAATGGGATTTAAGTGTCCCTGGAAATACTGGAACTGGAAGACACAGATTGGCTCTAAGGGCATAGAGAATAATGTTTATTCTCTCCTCAAATTGAAGACATCTGTGCTGTACAGTTGAGCTGATTTGACCTAATCCTCCATTAGAAAACAGAAATCTGGAAAATAGGGTGCCTTCCATCTACTCTTTAAAGGTTTCTTCCCTGTTAAGTTTGCTATCAGAAAATAAGAACCATGAAGTCTGCTACTCCTGAACAGACGCAGAACCAAAAGAGGGAGAGACCACACCTTACATGAGAAGTCACCTTTAATACATTAGCTGTGGCTGTTGGTGAGTTGTGGCCCAATGAGTATCAGGGACTCCCAGTCAGTAACAGTGAGTGGGCAGTGGAGAAAGAAAGAAAGCAGTTTAATCCCACTAACCCTCTTGAAAAGGTACTCAGAAGATCCTTTCTCTGTTGAAACAAAAAACTAGAAGATTCCTACTCCAAACATTGGGGAACAAGGCTCCTCTAGAGAAAATGTGGCTCACAATGAAACTTGTAATTCGGAAATGACTGGCCACCCTAACTAAATATCCAGCAGAAAATAACTTAGCATAACCCAAAGGCCTTGTCCTTGATTATATCCCTTCTTGTGAAGAGTAGTCCATCCTTGATGTATATTCAGGGAACTTAACTTGGGAGATATCAGTTTCTCTCCAAATCTGTTAATAATGGGTAATGTAAGTGGCTCCAAAGCTCAAGGAGGGAGAAGATTCCCCTACCGACTATCAGTATGAACACAGCATCTCAAATGTAAAATATCTTTGGAAAAAATATAGAAATTACATTTTTCACTTATAAATTATTAGTGAAGAAAAATAACTAATGGCAGAGGCATGGAAAATTAAACACAAGCTCATATTATGTGAGTAGCTAGATAATTTTGGTGCTTTCAGAACTACATTTTGGTAAGTATCAATTGCCTTTGACAATACAAATGTAGTGGAAGCAGTGAAAAGTCTTAGTTCAGAATTAGCTATATAGGGGTCAAAAAAATAATGGACTATACTTCTACTGTATGGAGAAAAACTCAGAGGTTATGTTATTACTTCTTGACCTGACATGCCACAGTTAAATGTGATATTCAGTACCATACATTTCAATGAGGCAAATTATAACAAGAAAGAAAATTTTTTCATGGGCCATGCTTATCCATAAGAGAAATTACAAGATTGTAGGGTAAATGGATATATCATTGACTAAGAAATATTGTCTACTTGGTTGCGTGAGTTTTAAGTCAAGTAGAGATGGATGTGAGTCTTACTTCTCCCCTGTCTGTTTGAACATGATCCTGAGCCCCAATCTCCTGCTAGCTACAATAAAGATACTATTATTAACCTTGTTGGGTGTTGTGGGCATTAAATTATATATTGTACATTTATTTCTTATGCCTCACCTTTTTTAAAGTTTCATAAAATGTCCAAAAGCAGTATAGAACAGGAACATATTACCCAGGTTAAGTGACTTTCCTAGTGACAGTCAATTAGCAATAGAGTTGAGTCTGTAACCCAGATTCTGACACTTGATCCAGTACCAATTCTAGAACCATCCATGTAAGATTGAAGGGGAAATAATTCTATTACAAAGCTACCTTGATGGAACTATTTAATCTGGGCCATAAAAACACTCAAATAAAAAAAGCAGTTAATATAAACCCACACACAGCTAATTAGATTTTATGTTAAGGGTCTGATATATCATCTTGCCTTGTCATATTATAATTTTTATAGCTTCATTTTTAAATGTTATAAACTTTCTTAAGACATTTAAAAGGTAGAATTTTTGGTGTCTTCTAGATTCTATGATAATGCTATATTTTTTCCTTTAAAATAAATTATTTGTGTTTTTCCTGGTGGAAAATAAAAATATATTCACCATTTACCTTGAAAAACAAATTTTATCTTTCAGCATCTACGATGAAAACTGAATTTCAGAGTTACCTTCTCCTATAACTATTAAGAAGTCTAGCAACAATATAAGCACTCCCAGATTGAAGATTTGAAGTGGTTGGGAAAGCTAATGTTTTGGTTCAGAAAAAGTCATGAATAATAAATTGAACTAATCATAATGATATGCACAGAAGGATAAGAAATTTATATGCCATTGGTTTAAAACTTTTATGCATCTAGGAGTAACTTGAGGGACACCCTACAATGAAAGTCCTAGGGTGGGCCCGTCCCCAGAGAGACCAATTCATTAGGTGCTGGGCATTGTCTAGAAATCTGTATTTTCATATCATGCCCTTGATAATTAAATAAGGCATTTCATGGGTCAAGCTTGGAAAACTATTACCTATGAAAGAACTCTTTCAAACCCTTCCCATATTTTCTGTATTATTGTGCAGGTTGCAAGGGAACTAGAGCCTCAATTAGGTGCTTGCCCAAGCCTTCCTGAAGTGTATTCCCCAATGTATCCACATTGGAACCATTTGGGGCTCATATTAAAATGCTATTTCTTGACTCCATCCAAGATTAACTAAATGAGGATCTCTGATGTAGGGTGGATCTGCACGTGGAATAACTTTCCCAGGTGATTCTAATGCACAAAAAGCAAGAACCATTAATTTTTACCTCTCTTTAACTCCTCTTTTACCCTTGTAGGCTCTGATTTTCTCCAGCCAAGGACTACAAATCCTCCTTTTAACAAGGTGTTTGCAGGCAATAGATGAAAACGTAGGGCATGTTTAGCCCTTGAAGTTGCCTCAGCTCAAGGAAATACTTTAATAATAATTAGTGGAATGTATTTATAATATATGAAGTATCAATAGTGATATTTGGAACCTGGTGAGATTGCTGTAGTCATCATGTATCTTAATCAGAATAAGATATGCTATGCGTGCTAACAAAGAGCCCCAATATTTCAGTAGTTTCATCTAACAAGATTTATTTCTTGTTTATGCTATATGTCCAGCGTAGGAGCTTACTTTTTTATGTTTTGCCATCTGAAATGTGTGGCTTCCTGTTGTTCTATGCTTCAGCTGAAATATGACACTCATTACTTTCACTTACAATTCATTAGCCAGACTGAGGTCCTGATATAATTATTAAAAAGACTAGAAAATGTAGTCTTCCTATTTCTCGAAAGAGAAGAAATGAACTTGGTGAAAACATAGCATCGTCTTTGTCTACAACTGTGATGAGAATAACATATGGAGGAAGCCAGAAGAGGTAAGAGATATGTCACATACTTTGATAATGGAAAAAAAAAAAAAGACTTGCTACCAGCTCTCCACCTCAGTTTGCCAAGGTATCAAGATAAAACAGCATGCAGAAGAGTAGACCTTGTTTGTAAGTGTTCCCCAAAGAAAAATTGTTGAAGGAATGCATAATAATCATAATCACAGCTTCTGGTTAAGAAAAAGCATGCTTAAAAATTTGAAAGTGACTGTATTTGGTTACTTTCCATTCAGGAGCTTTTGTTAGTTCCCTAAGAATGTGATGGTCAAACTATCTGCAAATGAGCCATTCCATTTTGAATATCCAAGGAGCCTCAGAAGAATGGAAGACATTTAGAACACAGCAGAGCATGTAACACAGTCATTAGAAAGCATCCCCTGATCCATTTATCTGAAGAGCTAAATAGGGTATTCAAAATGAACATGCTAAAGTTCAAATGAAGGAAGAGACAAGAACTAGTGTGAATATGATGAAGCCTGTGATATCTGTGCATCTGCTCTCTATACATTTGGATTCTCTGTTTGTATTAAACATTTGAATTTTTATATGACTTCTCTAATGTATATGGAATATTATTAGATCATGGAAAAAGCTCTCTTTGAGTTGGCAAATATTAATAGTTAATGAGTCTTGATCTATGTTATTAAGTTTGTAATGTTGAACAAAAAAAACTTTATCATTTCTTAGTATAGCAAGGAGATTGCTGATGCACTCAAAATTGCTTAGAAAATATTTCACAAAGTTTTTCTCTTGAAGAGTTTAATGATTTCAAAATATTTAAATGAAAAAAATGACTCTTTGAAATGAGCTCATGGGAAGAAAGAAGAAAAATTCAAAATAAACTTTGAAATCAGATCATGAGCTGTTTTTAACTTCTGTCACCCAGGTAATGGGAATTTTAATACTTCATTGCTTTATTTAAAAAAAAATCTAATATATATTTATTTAAGACTCAGAGACATATATAACTTATTAATTTTCTATTGTCAAAAACTCTGACACATGTTTGCAATGAACTTATCATTTAGCATTGTGTTTTGAAATACCTTGAGCAAGTGGTTCTTAACTAGAATTGAATATTATCTTTTAAAAAATTACACATACCCAGGGTCCATCTCAGTCTACTGAATCTCCCATATTGATTTAGATATGTGCTTTTATATAGGATAACTGTCTTAAGTTTGCATATGTTTCAATGAGAATTACATGGTGTTATACTATAAATATATATTTAAAAGGTAAAAGAACTCCTAATATTGTAAATAATCCTTTTCTTAATGTACAAAACTTAAAACTCATTGCAAAATACTGGAATTGAATCATTTATTTTCCTATCTTATTAAATTACATAAAATATGACAAAATAAAGATAATAAAATGAGAGAAAGAATCAGTGTAGTGACTGAACTGGGTAGTCAAAAGAATCCATAACTCTAGTATTTATTACATCCATATGATCAGCCATCTTAAACAGGACAAAGTGTTCATGATAGGATGGTTTTGTTTTGGGAAATGACAAATGACTTCTAAGTAGAACCAAAAGAGAAAAGAGAAAATTATTCTTCACTGGTTTCCAAATATCAATAATGTAAAAAAGAAGTGAAAAGTATAAAAACTCTCCCAATATCAGACCATTACAGCTATAATGTGCAGTGAGTGTCAGGAATGGTTGATCATTTCTATTATGCTCTTCATATGTTAAACTGGAGTCAGAAGACATAAATTGGAATGATAGTTGTACTGACTTTGTGACTTTCAATAGCATACTTTTGCTATCAGGTTCTCAGTTTCCTCATATACAAAATGGGAATAATATAATAACTACCTCATTGGATTGTTGTAAAAGTAAAATTATATAATAAATGTTCATCTCAAAAATGTGTAAAGCACATGCTTGGTAGTGGTATTATTATTGTTGTTAGTTGTTTATTATAAGAGAAATGTGGAGGAAATGAAGAGGTCTGTGAGAAATTCCTTAACCCACTAAATGCTGGAGTACTTTTCAGAGCACATGGTCCAATCTTTCATACCTGAAAACTTTAGGTATGAAAGATTTAGTAGAGTTTCATATTAATCTAAGGGTTGGAGACTACAAAAAATGTCATAGTTTCTGAAAAAGTAAGAAGTAGGAAAAAAAGCTATATTTATTTTACTGCTATTAATAAATTGCGCTATAGAAGCTTAAAACATCAAATATTTATTACCTCACAGTATATGTGGGTCAGAAATTTGGGAGAGGCTTAGCTGGATGGTTCTTGCTCAGCTGCTAATTGAAGAGACTGTAAAATTGTTGGCCAGAGCTGTGGTCATCTGACAGCTCTATGCCAAGGGCAGGTATATGGAAGCTGGTAGGAAGTCTCAGTTTCTTGCAATATGAACCTCCCTATAGGGATGCTTTAGTGTCCACATGACACATCAGCTGGCTTACCCCAGGGCAAGTGATCCAAGAGGGCAAGGTCAAAATGCCCTTTATGACCTAGCCTCAGAAGTGATATATTATTACTTCTGCAGTATTCTATTGGTTAGAAATGATTCTCTTAAGTCCAACCCATTCTCAAGAGTTGGGGAATTCATCTCCACCTCTTGGATGGAGGAGTAACAAAGAATTTGTTAGCGTATTTTAAAGTCACTGCAGTAACATACACAAACATTTACTTTCCAGTTGAATAAATTGAGGTTCCAGGAAAGGCAAGTGACTGGCCCTTAGCCTTCCTTACTTTATTCTTAACATGGTAATCAACTGACTGCAGTGGTGCCACAACTCAAATGAGAGCTGTCTCATTCTGGTTCTGGTTAGGTCTTTTCTTTTGCCTGTTAAAAGACTACAGAATGGGGGAAAGTTATATACTGTAAAGCGTTGGCATTCTTCTTTCTCTCAATTTCTCTCTCTTTTGCTCTGCTCTAGATAAAAGGCAGTCTCTGGAAGCTAAAGAAGGATAGGGTCAATGGGGCTTGTTAGCCATGTTCTTGGTTTGGGGTCTGGGTACCAAAATATAACTTGTAACCTGGGCTCATCTCTGGAGAGATTGAAAATGGGTTTACTCTACAAAGCAGCCACTGTAAAAGTAAAGATGAACTTTCAAAGAAAGGTAATTGCTTTCTTTGAAAAAAAAAAAAAAAAACAGCTCTGAACTGAAATAGTTATATATTAACAATCAAGTCATTTATCCTCTCTGTACATCAGGCTTTTTGAGTGCTCCAAATGGATAGGATTGCACTAGGAATTCTGTAGAATGTTAGAATTCTATTTATTTTTTATTCACTGAGTAATGCTTAAATAGCCTCCTTCCCTCTCCATATACACATACATTCCAGCACCAGGGTCTAGTAATATTGGGAATAATATTTAAAAGGTGAGAGGCTTCCAAATTGTAATTCCTTTCTTGTGGGACCTCAAGCAAAGCATATGGCATGGTTACCCATCAGTACAATTCAAGGATCACTATGTGACTTTCCAACCCTGGTATTCTAGGAGTCTGTGTAAAAATAGTGAGGTTTTCATGTGTGTCAAGGCGCAATCCGTGATCCCTTTCAGGTAGTGTAAAATCAGATATCTAGAGTCTGGCGTTCCCTATAAGTTCATAAAATGCTAATTGAGTTGCACAAAATCAAACCAAATCTCAGAGACGCCCTCTCTCTTCCATTCTTCCTTAGTCAATTGCTTCTTCAAAAAGTCACAGCTTTTTCCACTTACTTCTCCCCAAGATTCCCAAGAATATAAGCTACATGTCCACTATTGCTCTGTTTGTAGAAAATGCCAAATATTTTTATGGCCTACATGCTTTGCCAAAGTTCTTCTGCCTGGAATGCCCACTCCTTTTCCCCTCCACATCAAAACTTTTACAGTGCTTCAAGTCCAGCCCAAATGTTTTTAAACCCTCCAGATGTTTGCCAGGCAGAATTACATGTTTCTTATCCTTGTATCATTCCTAATACTTCTGATGTTAAATTCTAAATTTCTACATATCTGTTTTACCTGCTGTTCTGTAAGCATCCATGAAGAAACATTATTTATTGAATCTCTAATCCGAGCACTTAGCATAGTGATTAGTACGTGGCAATTTTTCTATTAACATTTTCTTAAGTAAATAAATAATCATGACCACTCTCAATAGGAACTAAGTAATAAAATCTCGCATCTTCTTTGTTTCATCTCCCCTCTATCACAGATGTGATGTTTTATTAAAGACACCATTTTACTCTTTTGCTCATTACTGTATGAAATGAAATTTCAATACTGGAATCCAGAGACTTCCAACACCACATCCAGCACCACTAAATTTGGCCCTTGGCATTACTTCAGGACAGATGGTCTGTGACGAAGTAGGGGCGAAAAGAGCCCCAGCTGTGCCGTGCCTGGCCTGGCCGCGACCCTCACGTTAAGGACTCCCATCCCTGCTCCTCTCTATCTGCATAACAGCTGATGCTAGAATCAGCATCAAGCTCATTGGCAGATGTTCTGTTTGTCATCTTGCTATTAAATAGGCCCAAATGGACAGGACACTAAGCTGTGATAAATACTCTCTACCAACAGTGTGCCATAGAGTTAATGAATTCCAAGAGAAAAAAATAATCTGGCTAATGAATTCCAAGAGAAAAAAATAATCTGTTTATTGATTTAAAATACAAATGATATTGTAAAAATAAAATAATTTACTGTGTTGATTTAGGTACAGGTGGTAATTAAGAGATCAGCTCTTCCAGATGCCTTGAATAATAGATATTGTCCTCTATGGGTCAGTAAACTCCTAGATAATGACGACATATCCTGCAGCCCTTCTTCCCAGGCTCATCACCAACGCTGCAGTTCAGGACTCATCATCTTTCAAAACAGCTCTCAGTTTCTCTCACTCCATTCTTTCCTCTTCAAACTCTGTGTAGCCATCACCAAATCAATCTTTCTTGCATACAACTCTGACCATGACGCCAACTCTCGAAGACTGTGTCACCCTACTTCCTAAAAGACACATTTGTTTTGGTTTGTTTTAGTCCAAATTTAGGGCACTCCATTCTCTAGCCTTAGCTGATTTTCAAAAACTTAGTCCTTCTCACTTCCATATATGGACTCAACATTCCATTTCAAGTAAGTGACTTGTCATTTCTTGAGTACTTGTGATTGTGTTCAAGCTGTTACTGTCGGGAAAACCCTCCTCCTCATCTCACATGTTCACTCCTAAGATACAGTTCAAACACAAGTTTTCTGATACTTCCCAGAGAAAACATTGTCTTTCCTGTCAAATCCCCTATAGCATTTTCCCTGTGTTTTTATTCATTCATTCATTCAACAATATTGAGTACCTACTCTGTGCCAAGAATTATTATAAAAACCAGGAACACATGAGTGAATAAAACAAATTCCTTGCTCTATTCAAGCTTGCATTTTAATGGCAAGAGATGCATAATAAACAAACCAAATAAGTAAAATATGGAGGTTGCTATATGATAGATAAAGAAGACACATGGAGTGAGGAGTGCTGGGAAAGGGCTTTCAATTTTAAATGGCATTCGAAAGAGGCCCCACTCCAAAGGTGGCTTTTCAATGAAGATCTTAAGGGGTGGGAGAAGAAACAGACTTAACAGCAAGTGTAAAAGCCCTAAGATGTCAAAAATCAAATGCAAGGAATCCTGTGATTAGTGTACATGGAGTATGTGGGAAAGGAGGCAATGAAGTCAGAGGTATTAGAGTGAGGTGACACTCATGTATGCCCTTGCAGGCCACTGAAGGACCTTTCATTTCGCTCCACATGAAATGGGAAATGTATCTCTGTAGCCCCAGCAGAAAA